TACCATCAGCAATAGAACAAAAAACATCGCTTCTAAAAACTGAAAAATCGGTAACACTGACGATAATCTTACCGTTTTTCCTCGATTGAGGAGAGTTCACCATTTTTTTTCTTTGAATCAGTTTGTACGACTACAAGATCCACAGCGTTGTCCTTAACAGCTCGACGAAGATCTATAAGGTAGAGAAAAAAATAACGGGGGCGAAATCAACTCAATAAATCCCTCATCTCGCCGTTGATAGAGAGAATTTTCAAAGAACATAAATTCGCGAAAGTAAATTCCAATATGCCATTAATGTGTCTGATCGCATTTACCCTAAGCTATAAAAAGACGCATGTGCCCTTCCATGTAAAAAACTGGGCGTAAAGATGCACAGAATTACAAAAATGCCACCGTGTGGCAATTGCTGGACAGGTTCATCTCAAGCGTTAATTTGGACGATCTAATGGTGTGTAAATCATTCTCATTTCTTTCACTATCCCCTATTCTCATATGATCCTATCTATCTATATATATATATATATATATGATATAGAATATTATACTGGACCCGGTTTAATGGATAAAGCGGATATATATTGGAGGATAAGCCCACTAAGACATCTAAGCCCAAAGGTAGGGGTCAAGCCCAACTTGGGCCCAAAAGGTATACTCCCCCTATAAAAAGGGGCCAAGGTACCTCATATTCATTCATTCTCTATTCATTCATTATTGCACTATCTCTCTCTTTGGATTGGAGACTGACTTAGGCATCGGAGGCCCGACGCCGGGGCCACCCCCGGCGTTGGGTTCTGCAGGTACGGAGGCCGTTTCGAGTTGAAGGAGCCCGGGTGAAATCTATTCACTTCAATATATATGTATATTAAAAATAGTATACATTAGACATGCCAATCAGAACCATCAGAACCAGTTAGATTAAACAAAAAATTCAAAAAAAAAAACGGTAAGGGATTCTCATAATCCCAAACTTCATTTTTATTATGTACAGTTAAAATAGTATATCCCAAATAGACATTGAAATTCTCAAATTGCAACAATGGAAAACGTAGATTTATGAAACAATGAGTATAATCCAATATATTGTTAGATTCGAATATCCCATCAATTTTATAATTATTAAACATCCTAAATGGTTAGTTTTAACATATCAGATTTAAAAAAATAAGGACAAGTTCAAACTCATTATCATAGGAAGACGAAAGGATTGGAGTATCTTACCAATTTTCTAACATTTTATTTTGACTTACGTAATTTTGCTACCTCACAAGATGTTGATAATATAACTTTCCAAAAGCAAATAGTTGTATTTTTAATTTTATTTTCAAATATGTAGACATACATGTGATTGTGTTTTATATTTTAATTCTATACGTGTTATGTTATTAACAAATATTTCATCACCTGTTGATATCCGAGTTAGCCCGAGATGAACCGGGAAGACATTGCCAACCAAGACCCGGGCTGAGGACCCGGTCCGGCACAGAAGTGCCGAGCTGAACCGAGAAGTTAAGTACTCAGGACCTCCACGGGAACATTTTTCGAGGCCGGCACCCGGCACAGTACATACACAAGCCGACCTGGATGGGTGCCGGGCTGAAAGAGGAAACCTGGGCGTCCCATAAGTATATTCAAGAGAAGTGCCGACCTGAAGATCCTGAGCGGCCATCTCAAAGGCAAGGACGAAACTCGGTAAACATTAAAATATTCCCACTTGGAAGGTCATCATTGGATGATGGGACGGAATGTCATAGTCTACTACCCTACATCAAAGCCTAGTTAGAGAACCTGCCAGCATTAATTGCCCCCCATGCTCGCATTAAATGTCTGACAGGCAATGATTGAAGAAACCTCAAATCGCATTATATGACTGTCACGGAGTCGCCGAACTGCTCTGTAGAATTACTATACGACAAGATGGGTGGACAGTGCAACATTTAAGGGCACTATAAATATCAACTCAATTCATTTATTTTGGGGTGTTGAACCTCAACTAACTCAGCTATCTCTCTACTTTCTCTCTCTAAAACAGTAAAACTGTAAGAAAACCCTGTAAGGATTGTAAGTATATCGTAAGTGCCGACCTCGTACGAGAGGCCAACCTCGCGATCGTTTAATAAAATCGTAATTAATCTATATTTTTCCTTTGTTTTCAGTCCACACTTTCATTATTTATCATTTTAACCGTTGACCGAAAGCGCTCGTCAACATTACCTAATATTATAATATCGCTAAATATTGTTTCCCCGTTGCACGGGTTTTGCGCTAGTTATAAAGAGACAAGATATCAGTTACCAAAACAAATACAACTCTTCCCTTAGACTGCGGAAGTATGAGATTTTTGGATAAACATAAAACCAGAAGAATAATTATATATGATAAGGTTATATATCCTACAAAATATGATGTTGTTTTACTACAAAAATAATAAGAGAAAAAAATATGAACTTCAAATGACATCATTTTCCAAATATATACAAACTATTTGATCGATAAATGTAATTCCATGTTGATGAACAAATTCTGAAAAATACACGAAATCAAACATATATTTTTTCGCTTGTCGACAACTGTTTCGTTTTATATTTCATCGCATTATTTATACTGTGTTTATTGACTGTATATGTTCTATTTTTTTATTTTCTTTAGATGGATACGTCAATGATAAAACACAACATATACTGAATATATACAGACTATAAGCGCAATATATATTGAAAAATATTGTCATGTCCTCTTGTACAATATTTGGTGCTCACCGTCAAGTCTTGACCTTTTTTTTTTCTTATAATTGCCGACCTAGTCGGTTTTTTTCATTCATTTTTTTCTTTTTTCTCCGTCGGATAAATGATATGAAAATATTCGTACAATAAACGTGGTTAGATAAGTGATATGTAACTAAAAACGCAATATATACTGAACATATATAGATTATAAACGCAATATATATAAAAACAAATTATGGTGCCCTCATATACAAGATTTGACCTATATAAAATTCCCCGTAGGCAACAATAAATAAATATATAAAATCCGGAGCATTAGAACTGTGAATCCAAGAAAAAAAATCTAGTTGTAACAATGAGCATCGTCGATGTATATATAAAAAGGACATTATTTGTCCGCGAACCTCCAACAGTTCGAGCCGTTGTTTACCTCGTTAGTCCCCGACTTAACCCTCCACACCATTAATCCAATCTAAAGATTTGTTCTTGCCATGGATATTTTTGCTCGAAGACTAGGGTTTGAGTTAAGGGGGGAGAAATATGTTGAATTAATGG